ACCCAGATCTGGGTTTGTTTTGATGAAGAAGCAGCAACAGCAGCAGCTAAAACTAATGAGTGGAAGAAAGCATGGAGGCTCACGAAAAAACTAAGCAATCTCCACTTAATCCATCAATGGGCAAATTTGTGTTTGTTTGTTTTGGAGAGGAAGAAAAGCCGATAAGAGAGAGAAAAGAATAAGAAAGAAAATTAAGTTTCTATTTTTTTGTTTTTAGTTTTGAAAAATTATAAAATAATAATAAAAAATATTAAATTTTCTTACATGGAATTTACACGTCATTAAAATTAAAAAAATCTAGTGATTTGCTGGCAAGTTAACGTGCCATCTGTCATTTAACTGACGGAAGGACCATTTTGATACCGAAAATAAAAGTTTGAGGATAATTTTAATACTTTTTAAAGGTGAGGGACAATTTTGGTGCCAAAGTGAAAAGTTGAGGGACCAAAATGGTACTTAAACCTTTAATATATGTCACTAAATAGAGTTGCTTCAATTAAAGAGTTATAAGTGTTAGATTAATTTGAAATTTGATATGCATGATTTATATAAATAGAACTTTTAACCCAATAATCAGTTTTTAAAAATATTAATTAGAAGATGAATTTTTAAATAGATCCTCCAAAAAAATTTTAAAAGGATGACCTACCCTATGCTATCCTCATATACATATATGGAGGAGGGACCAAATTAAAATAAAATTATAGAATTAGAACACATTTAGTTTAAAAATATATGAATAATAAGATGTAGCTTGATCTACTCGCTAGTTGATTTGAGTTAGGGTTGGCGGTCCACAGGGACGGAGCTAATGAAGGACAAGGGGGGGCAGCCACCCCCACTAAGATTTTGAAAAAGATTTAATATGATACTTTAACTTTTATTTATTAAAAATTTTGCTTTACTAGTATGAATTTCAAGAACTATTTCGAATGTAGAGAAAATATTAAGGATCTAAATAAAAGGTTTTCAAAAATTAAGGATATAATTCAAGTAAAATGAATTTATGTTAATTAATTAAGAATTAGGGTTTTTAAACATTTTTTCATCTATTAAGCCCACAAAAAAACTTTGATTATCTATTTAAATAATTTTAAATTCACAGTTTTCTTTAGTATTCTTTTATTTTTTTTCTTAATATTTTATGTAAAAGTTTAAAGTTTTTTCTTTTTAGCATGAAGGTATATTTTTACCTTTTAGGATTGAATTTATAATGTTTTATTTTTTTAAAATCAATCTAAATTAGAGTTAATTTTCTTAAAGAAATATTTTAATATTTTTTATAATATTAGTGTTTATCAATATGATCGGTAAGAAATTAAAAGGAAAATGCCTCAAAACTACATTATTTTAATAAAATCAAAATACTCTCATTCTAAATTAAAAAATATGTTGTTTTTGTCTTTTCCAATTCAAGTTTATTAAAACAATTTAATTTTATAGTGTTTTCCCTCATAATTTGTTAAAGATTCAACTAACAAATACATTTTTCTTTTTTTATTTATTCTTTAATTGATTATTGCATAATTTATTACTATGATATTTTGGTTTTTATTATAATTAAAAAACTCATTTATTTCTAATTTTTGTTAAGAATACATCAATGAAAAAAACCACAAATAAATCTTTTTATAAAGGGAAAGATTTAAAAAAAAAATTCTCTTAATTTTTATTTTTTTTATTTATAAATTCAAATTTAATATCTTACCAAAAAATTCAAACTCCATCCACCCGCTAAAAAGAATAAGTGGTCGGTTAACAGCCTACATCATATTACGTTATGAACTCGCTACATCTTTGCTTAGCTAGCCTTTTTTATCCACGTTGGCAGTGACTTATGTCATTACAATGATGTGGACATTGAAAACTAATTAATTGAAAACATTTCTTCTTTTTTTTTTTTTAACAAATTCAGAATCGATCAATTCGAATAGTTGCCTTAAGATGGATAATACACTTATACCGCCTGACGCCACTGGGTGGAAGGCTCATTGAAAACAATTTAAAAGAAAAGAAAAAAGGAAAAAAAATCTCACCGGGGAAGACAAGCTGTTATCTTCTCTGGTGAGCTTCCCCTCCACAAGGCTAGCCTACTCCTTCACCAACATCAACCAAATTACCACAATTTTTATCTTTAATTCTATTCTTTGAAGCAAAAAAATAAAAAAAATAAAAAGAAAAAAAAGAGAGAAAAACCTAGTAATTGAATTTTCAAAAACCTAAAATCATAAGAACAATAACTCAAATCCAAAGACAGTGCTTGCAAATTACATATATTTGAATATTTATTTTAGGTTAAATAACATCTCAATTTATGAATCCAAATCAAAAGTAACTTCAAGTCCTTCAAATCCCCCAACTAGGTAGCCAGCCTTAACAAATCTAAAAAGCCAAATCTGGGTTTCCCCATTCTACCAACCTCACAAAAAAAAAAAAAAAAAAGAAGGGGAGAGGATAGAGGAGAAAAGATGGAAGATAGAAAGATAGATCTCACCGTCGATTGGTCCTCCCTTCACACGCTTCTGATGTCTGGGCATAAGAATGCGAGATAGGAGAAAAGAAGCGAACGAAGGAGGAAAGGGGATTTGAGATCCATATAGAGAAATCTCTACTGGATTCTTTTAGAGTAGTCTTGATGACGTGATGAATTTTTCTTGGTTTTTGATTTCTTGAGATTGATTTTGTTGGGTTTTGGACTCTTTTCATGGTCTCAAGCTTCTTTGTGGCTACGTCGATGGAGGATTTGAGGGACTTCTAGGAATTGGTGTTGTAGATGAAGATCCAAGAGATGGACGATAATGTAGAAGGAGATTCCGACCACTGTGAGACTATCGAACTATTTGAAGGAGGCGAAGATAAGATAATCCAAGATGGGTCATCTCTACATTTTAAATTTGTAAGAACCCTGACCCCAAGTTAGTCAATGAGCAAATGAGACAATAGATAAATTTTTGTTCTAGAAACCTCTTTGGTAGGACTCATGACTTGGATGGCAAAAAGAGAGAGAAAATGCCACAATGTAAAAAAAAAGTGGATGCGTTAGAGGGAAAATTTTTTTTATATTATTTTTTAATATAAATTTTATATATTATTAAAAAATATATATTTAATATTATAAATTTTACATAAATAAAAAAATTAATTATTTAAATAATATATTAAATTATATTTAAAATTTATATAAAAAATTTATTCTAAAATTATTCCTCTAAAAAAGTGAGCAAGAATGGTACACGTAAGCTCCAGTGCTTAAAAAATTGCCATCTCATCATGGTGCAAATGGATCATGACATAATGTAACGTAAGTTATTTTTTTTTGATCATATGTAACGTAAGTTATTAAACAATGTGTTATTTATCTTTAGTGATATTTGAAAAGGGCATTTGTCTTTATATATATATATTTATTTTTTTTTGAATCAATCTGTCCTATCATTCTATTTGTAAGATAAATTTGAGGGGTTTGGCAAGTGAAAATTGGTAGTATATTGAAAATGTCAAAATTAACACAAATGTAAATATATCTACATAAAATCCAATTCCAAAAATAATATACATAGCTACATCCAGTTATGGGAAAAACTATTAGAGTCTGGAAATATATAGAGCAGTAAATAAAACTATTAAAACTGGACTAATAAGGATTCCTTCTGCTTGTTTGTTTAATTTGGTTTTAACAAGAATTTCATTTTGATCAAAATGGGATTTTTCTAGGTAAATGTTAAAAATACATTAATATTACAAAATGATAGAAATATAGTTAAAATAATCTTTTTCAAAACTTCCTACAGAGATGGCTTTTAAAACAAACCCAAATTAGCAAAAATGCCAGGCTAACGATCCTCCAACCAAAATAACCCTCAAATTCAAAGAAATTTCTTCTTGGCTCACACAAATATATCATTTATCATTTACAAAATTGTCTTTCAAAGTTAAAATAAATTTTTTTAAATAAATAAACATAAAAGTTTTAAAATTTATTAATTAAATAAATATTTAAAATAAAATATTTATATATATATTTTAAAAAAATTAAAAACAAAAATAAATTAAATAATACAACCTATTCCAATTCTTCTAAATTAAAAAAATTAAAACCAAAGAAACAAAAGGGATTTTTTGTCCCTCTCATTTTCATTAAAATTATTTATTTGTATAACAAAAGGTACTCCTTCCCATCACTCTCCTCTCCGTTCCTTCCCCCCTCCATCAACTTCCCCAATCCAAAACAGTGTAAAAGCGCAGCACCATTTAATCAGAACGCCCTACAAGCACATGCGTGTCACGACTTCCACATCAAATACCGTATCACCATAAATCGTAAGAATATCTTTACGGGGTCTACCGCAGTTGACACATGATCGTAAATAAATTAACGCTGATTAGGTGAGCGGTGATGGGGTTAACTGACCGGGCCGTGAAAATAGAGGACAGTTTGATGACTCGGGGATTTACTAAGCGCTGAAAATCAGTCCACAAGGAAAGAAACCGCAGAATCCCCTTATATATAAACACAAACCAAAACCCCCGTCTTGAAAAAGATTGTGCATCAGGGCTATTTTTATTTTGGAAGCCACACGCAGGAGCGAATAGGATTTTTGGTTTTACTTCGTTTGATCTCGTAATCTGAAACGACCGGCGAAGAGAGAGCCATGGGGAGTGATAGCAAGGGCAATGGTGGTGATGCAGGCGGTGCGGCGGGCAATGTGCAGATACCGCCGGCGGTGAAAAAGGTCCTGCAAAACATCAGGGAGATTCTCAGTGACCAGTATACTGACTCGGAGATCTACGCCGTTCTTAGGGACTGCGATATGGACCCTAACGACGCCGTTCAACGCCTCCTCTCTGAAGGTCCCCGGAAAGATTCGTGTTCGTTCTTCTTCCCCCGCTCTGTTTTTCTTTTTCTTTCTTGATGTGACAATGTTTCTTTTTGTTCGTTTTTGTATTTGGTTGCTGGGAAAAGGGATAGATGATGTAAAAGGTTGGCATTTTGAATTGGAGTTGTTATTTAGAATTTTTTTTTTTTTTTGAACTGAAGTTAAATTGAGTTGTTATTTAGAATTTGGTTTATGAGTAACTAAAACATGGAACAGTTTTCCTTTGTGGAAGTCATCAACTCAAAAGAAGTTTAATTTTGCAATCTTTTTATTCTGGTTCTGTGTTGCAAGAATTTCTCAGCAGCCAGATGGTGTTAAAATATTAATAGAAATCTTTGAACTCTGGTGTATTGCTTAATCCTGCTAGAATATCTTTGTTCTTATTGTTCTGTCATTTTTAGTGTCTATTTTATAGCCTACTATACTTCGAAATCAAAGGATGTCATGACTTTAAAAATTGCTACAGTTTTTGATCAGTTTTGAAGGGGTAGTAAGTAAATTGTAATGTTTCCGTTGTTTAGATACCTTCCATGAAGTGAAGAGCAAGCGTGAGAGAAGAAGAGAGGTACACATGGTCAAATTTTCTGTAATCAAAGAACAATCATGTATTTTGAGTAATTTATGTATTTATGATTAATAATTTGAGTAGCTTATTTGATGTTGTTTTCAGCATCAGCAGGCTTGTTTCTATTATACTTGTTCATTTATTCTGTTTCCAAATTTTTACTTTATTTCAACTTCATTAGATGAAAGAGACTCAAGAATTTAAAGTTCGTGCTAACAATAGTACTTTAAATCGTGGAACTAGAGTTGGTAGTGAACATACTTTTGGACAAACTGCATCAACACATATTGGTCTGAATGGTACGTTACTGTAGCATTCATTGGTGATACAAGTCTCTTTCCTCTTTATATTTTCCATATTCTTACTTGGTGAATTTGTACTTCTCATGGCAGAACTTGGTAAAGCTTCACTTAGAAGAGAGAATGGGTCAGTTGCTACTTTTCAGTCCTCTGCTTCATCCACATATCATGCAACTGGAAAAATATTGAATGAGAAGTCTTCTTCTCCTCAAAGGTTGGTTCTAAATTGAACTGTTATTAACATGTCTGCATTCTTTTAGACTTTTTATAGTCCAACTGGTGGAGTGGTAGCAAACCAGTATAGAAATTTAGTTTGAATGATTTTGGAAACCAGATTGACAGAGAAATTGCGGATTTCCTAGTTAAACTGCTGGTTCCATGGTTTGGATTTAAAATGAAAAAAAAGCTAGTCAATAATGCATTGATAGATGAGTGATTTGTTAGGCTGAACTTAAAAAGAAATGGAATGCTAATGAAAATAAGCAATTTCAGGCTGGGGTGTTGAAATTCAAATTGGTGTAACAACAGGACTGTTCTTATGCACCAGAAAAAGAAGAAATTGATTTTTTTTCCTCTCTAAAGTCTTAATTTCAGTGGTTTCTTATGCATAGCAAACTATGGGGGCTGGGAAGTGTTTAATTTGTTGTGATAGCCCATCTCCTTGTGTTTGACTGAAAATGGAAGGTAGCAATTTACTACAAAAGATGAAGACCAAAGTGCTTGCTAGCACATTTTGATCTTGATGGCTCATATTCTGACAAATTTAAAATTCTTGATCAAGTAGTTCTTGTGTGCATACTTTTCGATGCATGCTTATGACCTATCAGTGTTGGCTCTTTTCTTGTTTGGATGACCAGTGCCATCATTTCTGTAATGTCTGCAAATACATATATGGAAAACAACTCATTTCATGCATAGTATGTCTTTTTCTCACTCCCATATTTAGATTTATATTTAATCAGTCAAATGATTTCTTTTTAATATGTCTCTAAATTCATTGTGCAAGATTCTATAAAAATGGTGGCATTATAGATATTGTCTCCCATGTGACTAAATGTGGATTGCTTCTTGTATGCATATCTTGTGTTGGGTGCTTACTGCCTATTAGTTTCAGTTCATTTCTTGCTTTGTATTAGAGGTGCTTCCATTTTGATAATGGGGACTGATAAATGTATTCGACTCAAAGTAACTTCAGAATATTTCTTAGTCTTGTAGAAATTTTTTCTCTTTTTGTGCATAAGATAAAGCTCTTTCCTCACTCCCATGTGTGGATTCATACCTGATCCATTGATTGATCTTTTTATAATGTATCTCAAAAGTGAATTGAAGATTCTATAAAGATGGAGACAATACATTATAGATAGTTGGATGCACTGTCATTTAATCTTTTCTGGATGATTTCTTTTTGAATTGTGCTGGGTGGGCCAACCAACATGCTGGTATTTGAATGACATTTCTTTTTGCTTTAATCAATTCCACTTATCTTTTGCATTAGCATGAGTTATGGAATGATAACAGGGAATGAGAAAGCTTGATGATGCATTTTCTTTTTTAAAAAAATATTGCCTTTTCCAGTATATGTATTTGAGCATCCCATATAATTCTGACCTGTATTCTTCAAATGTTGCTACAGTGATTCCTTGAGTTCTCACAATAGAAGTGGAAGACAGCCAACAGGAACTGGTGATACAGATTCATCGTCTGTGCAAATATCTCCTGGCTTTCAACCTACTTGGGAATGGGGCTCCAATTCAGGGCGTGTTTCCATGGCTGATATTGTAAGGATGGGTAGGCCAAGCAACAAAGACTCACAAGCATCTTTTGAAAGATCTTATACCCTTCAAGACATTGATGCGCCAAACTCTATCCATTATGATGTTAAGCCTTCTCTTACTCCTTTACCTTCACAAACAGAAATACCTCAAGATCTGCAATCACTAAATTTGGAAATGAGAAATGAATCTGGAAAGACATCTGGTCAGTATGATTATGATAGTGAATGGCTGGTGAATGATCAAATAACAGCTTCTAGTGGGCCTACTGTCTCAGAGAAGACTGCTTCCACAGGTGCTCAGATGCACTGCAGGAAATCTTACCTATATGGTGATAGGAATTTGTTGAGGCAGGACAAGTCAGATGATATTCAATTATCAGGGAGAGATACTGTTGACAGGAAGAACAATAATTCTGATTGCACCTGGTCTGCTGAAAAATTTAGTGGACAAATAGTGGTGAATGGTGCTGGAGGAACATATAAAAATGGGAATGACTTCACTAATGATATTAATTCTGTTGATTCTTCTGGGCATGCATATAAGTGGCAGGATGGTAAAGATTTAAAGTTGTCATTTTGGATTCCGAATTTGTTGTTAAGTTATTTTCTCTGGCTATTTCACTAAATCATCATATAACATGTCATTGTAGTTCAAGATGGCTGCAATGCTATCCAATTATCTGGGGTTTAGCTGACACAGTGTTTGACTTAGAAAGACACAGCTATTAGAAGAATAATTTCCTCCTCTTAGAGAATAAGGTTTTTGTTAAGTAGACATTTTATCATCTTATTATTGGTTGATATGAAACATGACTTGAATTGTTGTATGAAGATGTTTTGAGAGAGCAGAACTAATATTAAGTAATACATTTGAGCATCTGATCATCATCTTGCCAGAACTAAGAATATTGGACAGAACTACTAGGTTTTTCTATGGTGAATGTTGACTAGAATTGCTTCATATTTTTCCAATCCTTCTAAATTTCATCCCAGTTTTCTACCTATGGAAGTGGTCCATCAACTTGAACTGTGTGCCTGAAAAGAATATTATTGTGCCTTTCTTTTCTGGTCTTAGGGATATTCTAGGATTCAGCTTTTAAGTTATGAGATTTGATCAGTGCCCTTCATTCAAATTTTTGATCTTTCTGTAAAGTGTGCAATATATAATTGGAGTCTGTGCATGGTTGCATGAGTGCTTGAAATGATGTATTTATGTGTTGATTATTCTTTTATGAACATACAACGCAGAGCTTATGTTGATTCTGTAGTTTCATCCTTTCTACTAAACCATTTGATCTAACCTGAGGAACAGGCAGGGATTCAGACACATCTTTGCCAAACCAGTTGACATTGCAATCTGATGAAGTCAACAAAACTGTAATGACAACTGCAACGAACTTGCAGCAACTAAGTTTAGCGAAGGAGCCAACTGTGCCTCCAACTGAGGATATTCGTGGGCTGGTGCTTCCAAATTATTTGCAGGCTTTTGCAGCTGACTGTTCACATTTGAGCTTTGGCACCTACAAGTCTGGCAAGAATTCTGTATCATCAGGGCCACAAACAGCTAGTTCTTTAGCAGCTGAAGTAGAGAAGGCCTCTGCTGAAACAGATAGTCCATCTCCTGTGCATTTAGACTCCAGGCAAGAGCCTTTTTGTTTACTTCCACTTTTGACTTGTTATGGTAGTTTATGATGGCTTGATGTCCTCTGCAGGAACTCTGTGAATTATGGTGACAAGGTACTTGGACATACTCATGGTACTCATAAAGCTACTGTGGACACAAGGAACCAAATTTCATCTTCACAGGCAGAGCTTTTGAATCATGATTTTGCTGACACAGCCTATGGGCAAGAATACCTGTACAAAGTCATACCTGATTCCACTTTTGGAAATATCCAGCAAAACAGTTCTACATTGTCTTCTTTGATAAGCCCAAATGCTAAGAATCTTGCTTCTTTTCCAAGTGAACTGGTAATAATTTTGCAACATATATCTCCTTGTGCCTTTGCTTTTATCACTCTGGTTGTCTACTATATGATAATAGCATGGGATATTTTTTTGGAAGCATTGTGATTGGAATATTTACCCAACTCTTCTTTTTAGTGGCATGGTTTAATTAATGTAGGTACTTTATCAACAGATTTTTTCACTGTAACAAATAGTTATATGTCTTCTATTTTTTTTTCTTTGTGGTACTTATTTCTTGTTATTCTCTTACATTTGTTCAATTTGTTTTAATTTCTCCTTGATAACAAACCAACCATTATAAATTTATTGTGGTAGCAAGTACATTCAAACTCTGTTGCTGATGATTTCTTGGCATTGAAAGCAAGAGGCTCTGCCACGCATCATGCAACACAATCAATGCCCTCAAGATATGGCAGTGCTTTGTCACCCATAAACCCTTCCATCATTTCCATGTATGAGGTATGCAGTCATTCGTTTGGATTCAACATTATGAATTTGCATTTACTGTCCAATTTGTTCGTAATCTGTTTGGGATTAGATTTGCATTATTGTTTGAAATTTGATTATGCTCAAGTTTAAAAGATTTATCTTTTCTCTTAAAAGGAGTGTTTTTTCTTTTTTAAGAGTGACTCTAAGAAAAAAACAATTAGATAATCTGATGTTATGTAATTTTGTGGACCATCTTATCTTTCTGTAGACATTTATGACTTGTTCTATTGTACTGAGATCTTGGGTACCTTGTTCACAACTAAAAGAAAATTTAGAAATTAAATTAAATTTCTTGTGCCTGGCTACTGAATGCAGGGTTTGAATTCTGGAGCCTTTCCTAGAACCCAATCATCCTCACAATCCCTTCCTGGAGATACCCTTGCCATCAGGCCTGAACATTATTATTCACAAATTGGATATGTCGTACCTCAAAGCTATGGTTTGCTATCAGCTTTTCCACAATCGCATCCAGACAGTGATGCATTGTATAGGTCTCAACCAGGCTTGAATTACAATCTCCATCATAGAAGTGGTGGTACCCCTATGAGCAGCTTGCCTCTGTCCGGTTCAAACTTATCTGGTTATGGAAATTTTGAGAATTCTAACAATAATCCTTTAAGTTTTGTGCGCAATCTCTCCATGGCTTCAACAGGCAGTAAAGTTGGGTGTGATGAACTTTTACGTGCTCAATTTAAGGAAGGAAACAATTTCCCTCTGTACCAACAGGTATTGGTAATAACTACTTGATGAATGGTCAATTCCTTTTTCCTTTTTCCTTTTCTTATTCCTGTCTTTTTCTGTTTCATTGTCAGAATGATAGCCCTGCCACATGGGATTATGGGTCTGGTTCAAGAACTGCAGAGACTGCCATTCCGGAGAGTGCCTATTACAACTTTCCTGAACGGTATCAACATCATGCTGGATGTGGACAAGGTCAGTTGTCCTCGCAGAATCAAGGAGTCTTTTTGCACCCAAGTGTTCATAATTCTCACACTAGCATCGCACCAGAACAGAAGCAGCAAAGCCCGAGTGATTTCATCCTAAGCAGTTCTCGACCTTATTCATCAAGGGAACTACCTCAGATTTGGAGGCCCAGCTACTAACATCCTTTTGTTTCTCATTTTGTTTTAAAATTTTACCAATGGGCATTCGAAAAATGGCAGATTAGGAAGATAGGACAGTTTGATTAAAAATTTTATAATGGTTTTGAGTGTATGCCAATGTCCAATTGTACATACTTAAAAAAAGCAGTGGGACTGAAATACTGCCCTGAGCCCCAACATTGTACTCAATCTAATATCGTGTTCGGGTGCATGATACACTAATTGATGTGATGAGTTTTTTTATTGGGGTCATCCAATGGATGAACAACTCTTATTTTTTGCCCATTCGTTATGTTCTGAATACATGTATGATAACATATAGATTTTGCATGAGCAGAAAATTGTCATGTTGGTGTCTGTTGGGAAAGGCAATTGACATGAAGGGGTCAGTTAGAGTTTAGGCAGTTAATTATGAGTTTGGTGTTACTTAACTTTCTCCTAACCTGCAATCATTCTTTTGGATCTTCGTAATATAATTATTGATTGAAATCAACTACTTAAGGAGAGAGATGGCAGCTGCATTTTCATCCAGTTTAGAGTGGTGCGATAGCTGTTCGGAGTACAAGGATGGGAGAAGGCACAGATCCAAGAGTAACCATGGACCGAAACCAAGACGCAGAGCAAGGAAACCACCACAGACCAAGCATCGATACAATTCTAATGGCTCCCAAAATACCAAAGGCGGTTCCTGCGGTTTCTACTGCAGAGGCTGAAACCATTAGGAGGCCTCGTGGTCGACCAGCTGGCTCAAAAAACAAGCCTAAGCCGCCCATCATCATCACCCGGGACAGTGCCAACGCTCTTAGAGCACATGCTATGGAAGTGAGCTCCGGTTGTGATGTGAGCGAGAGTTTGGCTAGCTTTGCAAGGAGGAAGCAGCGTGGCATCTGCATACTTAGTGGGAGTGGGTGTGTCACCAATGTCACACTCCGGCAACCATCTTCACCAGGTGCAATTGTGACCCTTCACGGTCGGTTTGAGATCCTCTCACTACTTGGATCCATCCTGCCTCCACCAGCCCCACCTGGGATTACAGGGCTAACCATTTACTTGGCTGGGGCTCAAGGTCAGGTTGTGGGCGGGGGAGTGGTTGGTGCACTCATTGCTTCTGGTCCTGTTGTGATCATGGCTGCTTCCTTCATGAACGCTACTTTTGATCGTCTGCCATTAGAGGATGATGATGTTACAGTTGCTATGAAGAGTCAATATCACCAGAGTGGTCGTCATCATCATCTGGATATCTCGGAGTTGTATGGGATGCCACAGAACTTGCTTACTAATGGTAACATGCCTCCTGAGATGTACTCTTGGGCAACAGGCCGGACTATGTCACAAACCTAAAAAGTGCTGCCATATCTATCATATATAGTCATTTGCTATATTAAGACCTACCTGAGAGCAATACCACTGTAGCCTGACTGCCCATTCCATTGATGCAGTACTTGTTTTCTTTGTCTCATTATTACACTAATGTATGACTTATCAACAGTCAGATTTTAAATTAGATGGATCTTCAACACCTATTTTTAGATATTCAGGTAGTAATTGATGCAAACTTTTAAGTTTGCCTAACAAAAAATGTACGGATAACCTAAGACTTTTTATAGACATAAAGATAGGAGTGGAAAATCAAAATATTTTGAAAATTAAAATATTGAAATGATAATTAAAAAACTTAAATAGCCTTAATGAAAACAATACACAAAAAATTCATTAAGGATATTTGAATGATTTTAAAAGAAATCTTAATATTTTAAATGTCAAAATATCTATATTTTCACTTTGAGAATGTTATAATGCAATTTGTTTGCACAAATTGCACTATTTTTAACCATAAATAGAGGAGTAAGTCTTTAATGTCAAGAGCTAGCTCCGTTCATGAATTGTTAAGTGAGGCGTAATTTACTCACTTCACTTTTTCCTATAAAAAATTATAACTTATTCTCTTCCTCAACATTCAATAAAGTATGTCTCTGTTAAGTCTTAATCACTCGGATTGATTTAAATGGGAATGTGTAATGTGAACAAGCTAAAAATGTTAGTTTGAATCACTTTAACACTGTTTAAGTGTAACAAATTTAAATGCAAACAATTTTAATGAAAAATGATGCTTGCCATTCCTAGGGAATGTTTGAATAAAAATTAGTAAAGAAAAGGAAAAGAAAGGAAGGGGGAAGGAAATGGAAAAAGGAGGGGAAGGAAAGGATTAATGTTAACCTTATTTGTATAGACAAAAGTAAGAGCTTAGGGAGGATAGTATTTTCTTAAATTAAATAATTTCAAGAAAGATAAAATATAATATAATAATTTTTTTTATTTTAGTAATTAAATAAATATTTGAAATAAAAATATATAAAAAATTAAAAAAATAAATTAATAAGGATTTTAAATTCTTCCTAATCCCTTCAAATAGAGAAATTAAAAGAAAAAAAAAGAAGTGGGGGGGTTGCTCCCCTCCCTCTCATTTACTTCCTCTTCAAATCCCTCGATGCAAACTCGTTGTAAACTCATCATTAACTTCTCCATCCACTTCAATGGTCGGGTTAGTCACAACCTAAGCATCCATAGAAATTAAACCACTGCCATCTCCGAATAATGTATAATTGTCCTCTTTTTTAAAGTAACAGGAATATGATTGCGTTTAGGATATATCTCATTAATCATTGGTTGTTACAAAGAAAATCATTTACTAACTTCTAGTCGCTTCCTAGTTCCTACTGAAACCTAATTAATCTTCAAAAGATAATCATACCACAAAAATATATATTATAATCAGACCTGTTGTGGTTCATGTCTACAAAGTTAAAAAGTGAGTTTGGAGACTATGGTCCAAAGATTCAAGATCTCCCCTTGTGGAAGAAAAAAAACAAGATAATAAAAGTGAAATTTTAAAATAAGTAACAGGCAATAATTACACTTCTGTAGTCACATCTAAGGCATCTCTATTTTAAACAATGCTAGATGGGCAACAATTAAGAATTGCCTTTATCAATGGACAGCCAATGGGTCAAAAAGTGAAGCCTCAAGATCGAATTTTGGATGCTCCACTTTGGGGGCTCAATTTTGCAATCCATCAATGTAAGTTTACTTGCACCTATGGTCCACCATACATGTGCAAAGCAGCAATGATCAAACACTAGTTTACATTAGCTTTTGACATTAGTGGGACTACATGTTACATGGTTTATATTGCTTTTGGTGTGCAAAGTTTAGGGCGGTTTGATAGTCTTTGCTATTTACATTAGTTAATATATGATAAATTAAATGTTCTCAATCATGATTTTATATATCGGTCTCTTTATTTTAAAATAAAACAACGAATATACTTATTTGATTATACAAATGTTTTGTACGTGTATATATATATACACATTTATATTTAATACAATATTAAACTCAAATTTTAACTAGTAGCTTCGTGGATCCAATAACGCTCCATAGGCTTGTAATTTCTTCGGTCTTTACAAACATGGAATCATTATCTACTTTCATGTTGAAGATAAAAAGGAAAAAACTTGACAAGATAGTGTCTCCAAAGAGAATAGAGTATAAAAGGAACTCTTCTGCTTCATCTTCTGCAGTTTTGTAGTCATAGTCACATAACAACCCCTGCCCATAGAGACTTCCTAAAAACTCAATCCCACCTCAAGAAAACACAAAAGGGGAAAGGAGGTGGGGAAAAGAAAGAGATAGGATAGAATACTTGATAGTGACCTCTTGTTATTTGGGTACATCTCATTTTGGTAAAAAAATGGGCAACAAATCCTCCTTGCCATTTTCTTCTAATTTTAGGCTATACTTTCAAATAGTAGTCAAAGAAATTCCGTATCAATCTTAATTTAGATAAAAGTTTCAAATTATCAATTCTTAGGAAATAGGAATCCAATAACCTATTCAAATCAAAGTAGTCAATACCGTACCGGTATGCTACCGGTTTTGCTACTGGAACGGTACGTACTGGATATCGAAATTTTTTGTGTACCGTTTCAGATTTATCGTTATAAATATATATTTTTATAAATTAAATATTAAATTTAAAAATAATATAAGAGATACTAATATTTAAAACTATGATATTCTTATAAATTAAAAATAAGTTTAAAATGATCATTTTTAGTCTCTCAA